AAAGTTGCCGGAGAAGATCGGAGATTTGTTCTTCCTCTCGAATCGAAGAACATTGTATCTTGCTTTTGCTTTGATCATCTACTAGTGGAATATAAGTCCATTGAACGTTTTTCTCTCAGTTTTCCTACGATTTTCTACTGTTTTCATACGTTTTGGGCTGATTTCCTGTAGAAAACAGCAACTTTCTTGTTGTTTTCTCCACGTGGAGCGATAGGAATACTTGGATCTAAGTATTTCCTATCATTGCCCAAAGGATTCTTCACCATTGATAACTTAAGCTTCGTAAGTTTAGTTTAGAGTGAAGAGGTTTAACCAGGAACTTGTAATCTTATTCATGATCTCATGAAAGGCTCGTTGAATATGACCGTATAATCTCTTTGGCTCTTCGCTCTCTGTTTGATTAAAAAGACGTGGAGCGATAGGAATACTTGGATCTAAGTATTTCCTATCATTGCCCAAAGGATTCTTCACCATTGATAACTTAAGCTTCGTAAGTTTAGTTTAGAGTGAAGAGGTTTAACCAGGAACTTGTAATCTTATTCATGATCTCATGAAAGGCTCGTTGAATATGACCGTATAATCTCTTTGGCTCTTCGCTCTCTGTTTGATTAAAAAGAGAAACTTTCTTACAGATGGTGATGACCAAGATGTAACCAAGATATATGCGGTCATGATGTCTTCTGACATTTGGAGAATTTCATGGATCATATGAGGGTTTATTGAACTAGAAACAACTTTTCTTCTTCACGTTCTTGCAATTCAAACATGTTTTCTATTTTTTTTTTCTTTTGCAAACAAACAAACAAGAAAAGATACCCAATCATGAATTTGTTTAACGCATAAACAAGAGCAAGACAAAATAAAAAATAAAAAATAGAAATCAAAACATGTCATCATTAATTTTTTAAGCCATATTTGCCTTATTACACAGATGTTTTTATTAAATTATTATGCAAACGAACCTGCTGTTCCAGTAATAAATGAATATCCACAGACTAAAACAACACAATGGTGAACTGAAGGGTGGAGCAAAAGCATCATCTGCTGGAAGACCATGGTCTCTTGCATGCATAATACGCGGATTCAAAGATCGCAGTGAAGGTAATTGACCATGCTTCCTTTCTTTATTTCTTATCTGTATGAAACTGAGCAGGGTATTTACTTGTATATTTTATTTTAATTCAGCGGGAGATTTTCAATAGAAAACAAAGTCATTTTCTTTCAATTGAGAACCAAACAATGAAATTTAGTTCTCGATGGTAACAAAACATCAAAGTTTTTCGAAGTTTGCACCATATAAGTATGTAAAGTCATGTGGATATGACAAAAGAGTGCTTATTCTGATGACAGTAAAGCTTGGTTTGGAACGGCTTTCTTTCTGCTTCTTACAATAGTTTTTTAGTATACAAATTAAAAGTTGTGTAATAGAAAGCTATTTTAAGAAGCAGTTAAAAAGCTGTCCCAAATGAAGTCTAGATGGAAGAAGTAACGTTAGCAAGGACACCTTGACAACGATATACACAAAGAACTTCTCTTGATGCTTGGATGGAAAGTAGAACAGAAAACGTTAGGTGACAAAGGATTTTTTTTTAAAAAAGTCGTAATAACTGATAAGGCTTAAAATTAAAGAGATGGATTTTAGAGAATTTGTCCAAGCGTTAGAGCTGTTGATAAGCCACTTCACCTATCACCATATGCAAGCAGCTTGCTCTCTATTTTCTCAGATAATTCCTCAACCTTGTACATGGCTATGCCCTACCATTCCACTAAAATAAATTATTACAAGCTCTGCTCTCATGCTGTACAGCAGAATTGTCTGCTTCCTTCTTCTCTCTACTTATACCAGCTACTGTAACTAATACATATGAGAAATTAATGCAAAGGCCACATTCCATGGCTGTTTCTATCTTCAGTATACTTCACTAGTTAATGTAGTCTATCATGATATCAGAATAGTAAAAGCCCAACGGCTACCCTGCTATTCATCTTCTTCGATGGTTGACTCTTATAATACCTCGAAAACGACACCAACCACTCAACAACTCACTGCTACCGTCATGCCAGACATCGCTATACCCCCTCTTTGAAATTGCTGATGTCAAACATCAAGAACATTGTCCATGTCCAGCTGAGTATCGATAACTATTCAATCTGAGGTTCACAAGTCCTAAAAATTTCCTCAGCTAACAACTTTGATGGTTTTATTACTGGCACCTCTGAATGCCCTCCCAAACTCACCCTCTCCCCAACCAACCAACTTCAACCGAACTCGCTATACCATTCCTATCAACTACAAGATCAAAACATATCCTCAGCCCAATGCTCCACTATCTCCACCTCCATCCTCTCACACATACTCATTCTTACATCCTGCAACGCCATTTGGACAGCATCATAGAAGAGACTACAGCCAATCAATATATCTCGTGTAAGAATGAGCTACACAACATCACTGTGAAGGATCTCACCATGACCTAATACTTATCCAACATCAAAAACCTTGGCGACAACATCACCATTGCAGGTTCTGACATTGACCCAGAGAACGTTATATTATAAGAATCAGAGAATTCATCAGAAGTAGGGAAGGTAAAACGCAAGTTGCTTACTAATCTGGTGCTGTTGGGTTGCAAGTACGCATACAGTAAATACAAGTTTAACTCTAATATATTTTTTTCAACTCATTTGTGCACCCATCGAGCCTTTGCATCTTGCAGAATAGAGAGAAATGAACTTTCATGGTTGGGTTATTAGACAATTTGTCATATTTCTGATCACTCTCTTTTTGTTTAGAATCGTTTGGTTAATTAAATAATTTTATTTCGTCTGCAATTTGGAAGGGCAATTTTGTAATGGGCAACTTAAAATAATAATTTTTATTTAAACACTTTATTAAATTAATAATATGTTAATTATTTTAGTCTTTTTTAATTTACAAAAAGTATTTATCAATACCAATTTAATTTATTAATTCTAATTAAATTATAATTAATAGAACATAATATTTTTATCAATTATTAGTTAATAATTTATAAATATTATTAAATATAAGAATTTCTATTTAATTTAATTAAACTATCAATAATACTGGTTTATTTAATTTATTATTATTATTATTAATTATTAAAAAAATTAATTCGAAAATTATAACAATTATAAAAACGGCGGCTTGGCCTGCAATTCGAAACCCGGGTCTCTCCTTTCCCGAAACCCTCGGCGAAAAAAGAAGCGCGAAAGTCTCGACTGGATTTTCCTCCCATTGCCGAGCCCTCCGAAATCCTGAAAAAGAAGCAAGGAAGTCGCGACGCCAGCTTGCAGAAGAAGGCATCGACGGGCACTTTTCCTGTTCGTAATCCGCCGCTGCCATACAGCAACTAGCCCTCCTTTGATCGCCCCAAAAATGGAGGCAATCGCCGAACTAGCTCCGGTGAATCAACCATCGAGCGATGCGGAAGAAACTGGCGAGCCAGGATCTGATGCTGGTGTGCTGACCCCTTCATTTCCGACGGGGAGGGTGAAGAGGATCATTAAGATGGACGAAGACATCAAGAAAGTGAGCTCCGAGGCTCTGTTTTTGATTTCCCTCTCAACCGAGCTCTTTATAGAATTCATGGCCGAAAAAGCTGGGAATGCTGCTGCCCGCAAGCGGCGGAAGACCGTCAAGCTTGAGGATCTGCGAACTGCCATCACCGGCCACTCCCCAACTGCTGACTTCCTCCTTGACTGCCTTCCTGAGACATCAAAGCCACCGCCTATTCTGGCTGGTAAAAAGAACGAATCGGAGAAGCCGCTTCCTCCTGGTGCGCGCCGGATCGATGAATTCTTCTCCAAGTCGGCGGAGATAGTGCAGCAGAGCCGCTGATTTCTGTATTCGTCTTTGGTCCTCTTGTGGTTCATAAGGTGGTATGTTGATCAAGCATTTTAATTCTAAGTAAAATCATGTAGCCCCATGTGGCCCTTTAAAGATTTGTCTCCTGCTACTGTTGATCTATCTTCTATCTTCTGTAATGAGGAAGAGCTCGATTTTCTTATGCATGGCATATCATTAGCAGTATACCTATATTTCTTGAACGCTAAAACCATTGCAGATTGTCTATATTTTCTTAAAAGTGCACTTGAAGAATTTTTGGTGGAGGTCATTTGTTTTTGCTAAAAAAGAAGTACATCCTTGCGTCAACTTCTCAGTCAGGCAGATGTATGGGCTTGCTCAGGCTTCCTTGTCTTTTTTTTTTTTTGCGGGAAAGAGATGCAAGCGATAAAGATTAAAGAAGAAATTGGTGGAGCACCAAGCACGAAACATATTAACATAATGGTAAAGTGAACTGTTCATCAGTGGACTGGGGCACTAAGGGCATCTCCAACCGAACGCGAAACGAGCGTTTGGCGTCATTCCTTCGCTCCAGCCGAACGCAAAAAAATCCTCCATTTGCTTGCGGGTGAACAGTGCAACGCCAATATTGGCGTTGCACTGTTCACCCACGCCATTTTTCTCTGTCAACCGGAAAAATGCGGGAAAGGAGAAGGTTCGTTACCTTGGCGCATAAGCAAAAAAATGGCGTTGGATTGGAGCAGCACCACGCCATTTTTGCTTTTTGCGGTATTTTGGCGTGAAAAATAGAGTTCTCGGTTGGAGATGAACTAAGATCATCTCCAATCATATTCAAACTCCAAATCTTGCTACCAAAATTTGGTAGGTGAACAGCGCGGCGCCAATATTGACATCAGATTGTTCACTTATGCCAAAAACCCTCGCTTGCGAATTTGCCGAAGAAGAGCTGGAAGAGAAAAGCTTGCGAAAGAGGAGAAAGATGATTACTTTCACAGAAAACACGCGAAAGAGGAGAAAAATAAAATTCGATTGGAGATAAATTATGTCATTTTGAAATTTTACTGTATTTTAAAACGTAAAATGATTTTTTTTTGTTAGAGATGCCCTAACTGGTCTACAATCGAAGGCAACAACAAAAATATTTACGAAATGCCTCAGAATCCTTACAAAACCTGAATGGCCATACAATCATTGCAATTCGGTAGGACAAATATCAGCCCAAAGCAATCATATGCAGTATGACCTTTTATTGTTTTTTATTCAGTTCAGTGTTGAAGTTCAAAGAATAATCATAGCTTGATATAAAAAATTATTCTAATATTATGAAATCCATAGACCAAAATTTCTTTTGGATGTCCTGATCAATTTTTTTCTTATATCAGGAACATATTATTTTTCTTGATACATCTGCATATGTGAAATACCTGAAACTTGAATATCTTTCCTAACACTATTTGAAGTAATCACTAGAAGAAAAACCTGTGGCAACATAGAGCTACAACTCATTGATCTTCTGTTTTATATTTTCTTGTATATATGCTTAATTATATTGTGTGGAGTCCAGATGGGAAGTACCGTCCGGACATATGTGTACACACTCACAATGTGTATTGAATTTTTGTACACACTGTGCGTAAATAATGTGTACACTCACAATCCGGACAGTTTTTTCCGTTCGGACTCCGCACCGAATAATTTCTCCAACCAAAGGAGTGTTACTATAAAGTATAAACTTGATTCGTTATTTCAGCTACTTTCTTTTCTTGTAGTAGCCTGCAAGTTTGAAACGAAATGGAAGAGTCTTTCTCGGAAAACTTGTAGGAAAAAGAACAAGGATTGCCCTTCCAGAAATTTGCTCTTGCAGCACCGGGAAGCAGCTTTGATCCAAGCAAAATCATCATTTGATTGCGACTATTTGCATATTGAATGGCGAATGAAACCCTAACTTACATGCAAGGTGGTACGCTTATTTTATGAGTGATGAATCACTCAAATAAATACACATTTAAATTTGGATTTTTTTTTTTTGTTATTGTGATTGGGGGATATAAGTATTATTCTTTGTGATTGGAATCGTTGGACATTGTGAGTAAACTGAAGCTTGTGAATAATGGGATGTAATTAATTACGCGTGTAAAATGTATTTCTGTTGATATTGCAGGCAATCGAAGGAGTCTTGAACCATTCAATATGTATATTATTATTGTTTACATTACTGCTGTTGTTGATAGTTGCAGCATCCAGTTCTTATTCTTTACCTTCATTAGGCCTCTGGCTCTAATTGTGGACCAAAAGAAAGCTCCGGATTACCATCTTTTGAGTTATCGTCTCACATAATGAAACTTTTATTGACTTCATCAGAATCTCCTCTCAAAATGATCTTTGTATTTTGGTTTTAGATCCATTGTTGGGGTTTGCTTATATAGCATACCATTGCTATTGAAGGATGTGGCTTGGTTAGCCATGTCATTGAAGGTTTCTCCTGTGATGTCAATATGATAACTTTCTACTATCTTTTCATAAATGAAATGCATTAGATTTCTCATTGAACACCCAGTGCTTTGATGTCAATCATGTATGCATTAATGAATTGAAGAAATGCAATATGGTTTTTTATTTTTAGAGCTAGAAATACACAAATTTCATGAATAAGAGAATTAGATAAATAACACAAATGAGGAATTTTTATGCTTTCTTAAATGCTCTTTTCTAGCTCTCTAGCTTCAGAAGTTTTATTTGGTCCGGTCGACCGAATGAGAGAAACATTCGGTCGCAGGCAAAATCCCACTGTACCGAGGTGTACCGAGTTTTTCGAAAAAAACTCGGTACACCTCGGTATAGCGGGATTTTGCCTGCGATCGGATGTTTCTCTGCTTCCGGTCGGAGGACGTAATAATTGTTTCTAGCTTCATAGTGTCTTTTTATTCCTTGATTCTTGGATTTCTTATAGGCTATGGGATTAATTCTCTATATAAGATGCAAATTAATCAAAGGATAGCAGTTGAATCAAAGAGATTCATGTTAAAAGACTAACATTTTGTCTCCTTCGACCCTCCTTTATATATGTTTAGGTATGTCAATCATAATAAACAAGTATTTGTATTTACATGACATTTAATATGGTGGCATAAATGCTATATGTATTGATGACTATTTTGGGGCAATTAGGAGTTAATGTTGGATTCAAAATTGAAATTATGGATTATTGAAAGCATTTTAGCATCATTACTATGTTATCGTTGGTCTTCTTGGCTTCAAGTTATTCATAGCATGTATAACAACCTGAAAATAAAAATTATTTTAAAATGAAATATTTAAATTTATTTTTAAATTAGAGCTACGACGTTGAGATTGTGAACGCTAAGTCATTGGCCTTTGAGTGTAGCGACATCAGAAAATGCCGTCGTGGCATTGAAGCATTTGTTTATATTGAAATTCATTTTGAAAAATTTGCGACACTTCAGACAACAATCTTCCATTCAGCGACCCAACTCTATATCACAAAATCATTGGCTCTTTTCAATATTTAAATATAACCCAACCTGATATAGCTTACACTACCAACCTTATTTGCCAGTCAATGCATATCCCCCTCAATCGGCATTATTAGAAACTGAAACATCTCCTACAATACATCAAAGGCACAACCCATCTAGACCTTCCAATTACTAAAAGCGACCTCACCCTATACTCCTACTTTGGCTCATATGGGGCCTCTGATCCAATCGACCACAAATCTACAACCGAGTTCTACTCCTACGTTGGAAACACAATTATCTCATGGTGTGTCAAGAAGCATCCTACAGTAGCTAAATTTTCTATAGAGGTTGAATATTGAGCACTAGCTTCCATTGCCTCCAACATTTGTTTGGATGCATCGATTGCTCACTGATTTCAACATCCACACTTCTACGGCAACCACAATATACTTTGACAACATTTTAGCGATCTCATTGGCCAACAATCCTGTCTTCCATGCCCGCACCACAATATACTTTGACTACCTTTTCTTCCAATATCGCATACGCTCCAACGAAGTTACAATTCATCACCCCTATGCTCATTTCGTGTGGCTTGGCTGGGGAGGAAAATAAAGAGAGGAAGCGAGGAGGGAGAGGAGAGAGCAGAAGAGAGAGTAAGTACTCTTGAGCTTTTCTGTCTATTTCTTCTATTATAAAATTGTTGTGATCATTGTAAGTAATTATCCTCTTATTGTTATTTTTTGATAATTTTGATTTCTACGAATTTTATCTCTCATAAATCTGTTAAAAATATATTTTCTCCTAATTCTAAAACTTTGACCAAGTAACTTTTGATATGTTATATATTTGATTATTTTGAAAAATATGATATGATTTTATTACATTTTTATCTGTTGAAAATATGTATATGAATATTTCTGTGAAATTAGTAGGGAAAATGTATAATTAAAAATGAGTTAAAAGTAATATACTATGATTTGATATGAAAATACTAAAATGTGAAATGAACGTAAATGATTAATGTGAATGAATATGAGCATGTGATTTGGAGAGTGATATCAAAAACATATATCAGTCGAAAGATGGAAACTAAGTGTCATACATGGCAATGCTACGCTATGGATTCACCCTTTGAATCCTATAGGGGACAAAGTGCTACGTGACGGGAGACGCCACTTGAATTTGTAAGGGCCATCCTTAGAATCATATATATATCTCATTGATGATTCTAATACTGATTAATGATTATTAATGGGAGTTATAAGAAGCTGGAGACTGATTGAGAGTTATAAGGAGTCAAAATAACTGTAACTAATTCACTAAAGGGGATTTATAAGAAGTATATTGATTGAGATTCATAAGGGGTGACTGATCGGGAGTCATAAGTGTAACAGCTCAAACTCTTAACTTTCAATGTACTGTCCTCTTTGGCCAAAGGGTCTAGCAGATTTTTCCTATTGGTGTAACTTCCGAGGAGGTCATCCATCATAGGAGTTTCTTAATGAAATTCTGACCATTACACCAAAAGATGTCTTAATGTTTTACAATTTAACTTCTTTTACTTAAGGGATTTCATAATCTCCCTCATGTAAGTAACTGTTATCTTCGTCAGCATCTTTATCTAATAATCATCCACAAGACAGATATGATTCTAGAGGTGGCCACTGCAAGTTCAAGTGATGACTCCCACAATGTAGCACTTTGTCCTGTATAGGGTTCAATAGGTGGCTTCTATGGCGTATAACTTTGTCTTGTATGACACTAAGTTTTCATCTAGTATATTGCTCTGATACCATTTGTAACAATCCAAATTTTTAGCTATCAAGATATTGTCCGTTTTGGCCTAAGGTCCTCACGGTTTTGTCATGTTATTGTAACTTCCCAAAAGGTCACTCATCCCAAATTTTTAGCTATCAAGATATTGTCCGTTATGACACTAAGTTTTCATCTAGCATGCTTAACTACGGAGTCTCTTAATGAAATTTCAACCATAATAATAAAAGGTGCCTTGATGTTTAAGAGTTTAGCTTCTTTTACTTAAGGGGTTGGATTTCAATAATTTTGTATTTTTGATATTTTTTTGATCAAAATTATATTTTTGTTACAAAAAAATGAGGATAATTTTATGTTAGTTAAACTTTCACAGTGTAACTTTATATATTTATATAATTAACTTGAGATTATGAATTTTTTGAGTATTTATTTGAGATTTTTGCCGAGCGAATTTAAAATAAAATGATTTTTGCATATTCAAAAATTTATTTTGTGACTTAAAAATAATGCTTTAGTTCAATTAAATCTTCATAATGTTATTTTATATAACTCTGATAACTGGGGTATAACAATAAGGGTAAGAGCAAGATACACTCATTTGAGCATTTGATATAATATTGATTATTGTTACCGTTTACTGTTATTTAATACAAAGATTGATACTACTGTATAACTGTATAATTGATAGAATGACGAGAATAATTGAAGAATATGACTTAATGAAATTGATCGATTGATAAAGACAATGATTGATTGACCGACATAACGAGATGTGATGTGTAATAGAAGTTATCAACTGAAATAGGTGACTGATACATATAACATATGTTGATATATTGACTTCTTTATATGATTTACAACGTATTGTTTCTCTTTTGCATTGCATTAATTTAAGTAGTAAGATTTTAGTTTTTTATGGACATTTTATGATCATTACGTGATTTTATTTGATTTCAAGTAAAGATAAGGGCCTTGCAGCATGAGACTTGACAATAATGTGTTTTACTTTTATTTTAAGTTTTCTAGTTATATGTATTCTTTTATAGTTAGTGTGACTATTGCATATATTATTTAAAACTCGAGATTTTATTGTAGAATGTAAATATTGATTATAAAAAATATAATGATATTTTTTATGGTACTATTTATTTTCTTTGATGCAATTAATCAGTTATACATGTCAAATTGATCCGGTTATTAATTTAAAGGAAAAAAAATGAAAATAAATGAAAAAAAAAATCTTCCACTTTAGATCTTGAGGTTTGACAACATTGGTGCCTTTTAAAATCTCTCTCAACACTTTGGCTTTTGGACTCTTCTTGGCCCATGACTATTGAGCATCATCTTGACTCATCTTGGCCTCAATTTCTAATAGCAACAACATGTAGGATTCTCTTGAGAGTCCATATTTTCCAAATTTTTTCTACTTCCCCTATGCCATTAAGTTATTGATCTCCTAATCATTGGCGTATTCTGTTACCCTTTAGAGATAGAATATGAAATTAACATATACGTGAAAATGTTGGAGTAGCTCAATGACATATACGATTAGAGAGATTCGCTTTAATTGATTTGATCATATAAAATATCGGCCTTCTGGTTACTCGGTTAGAAATGCAGATGTATTATAATTGACCTATGTTAAGAGAGGTAGATGTAGACCTAAAAAGACTTGGTTAGAAAATATTAAAGTGATATTTTTTATTAGATTTAAATGAAAAATTGACTTTTAATCAAACACAATGGAAAAAAAAGATTCATGTATTAGAATTGGCCTATGTTATGAGAGGAAATTTTCCGTAACATTCAATCAGTGATGATAGTGATGGAGATTTTTTGCACACGCTGAATAATATTAGCTTAAGAAGAATATATCAATTGAATATGACTATGACACATGAGAAAAAAAAATTATCTTTTATTATTTTTAAATAGTTATAAAATTAATTTTTGGGAGCATAATTAAAATTATTGAAAACGACTTTCTCTCGTCAAATAATGAAATGCCATTTTTCATCCATTTTTTTAGCAAATCAAAATTAGATTTTTTTTTTTAGCAAATTTCTACTAAAATTACACAACTCAAACTGTTGTATTATTTTATATATTTTTTGAAATTACTTCAGATTCATTATTTGTGAAAGTTCAATAAACACTTCTCAGGGTATTTCCAACCGAACGTCAAACGAATGTATGCCGTCCGTCTGTCGTTCTAACCGAATGTAAAAATTTCCGCCATTTACTTGCAGGTGAACAGTGCGACTGTTCACCCACGCCATTTTACTCTCTCAACCGGTAAAACGAGCGAAAGGGAGAAGATCGTTAACTTCAGAAAAACATCTAAAATGACGTTCGATTGGAACAGCACCACATCATTTTGGAATTCTGCTTTATTTTACCGTAAATTTTGGAGTTCTCCGTTGGAGATGCCCTTATGCTTGCGAGTGGTATATTGTTTTTTTTTTTTTTTAATTTTTTGAAGATGCGAGTCGTATATTGAGAAATTATAAATTTTAATGAATTTTTTGTCCAATAAGGAAGCGCTAGCGGATAAATGAGCAGTCACTGTGCGCAACGCCGTACCGGATGCGTGTCACGCTTTTCAGCGATGCCTTTTTCCAGAAAATCCGCCGGTCCACCGGCAACCCGTGGTTGGAAAGTTCAAAGACGCTGTCGTGATCGACGAGGTAGGGTTTTGCATCATCTTCAGGAAGTTGGAGTGAAAATCTACTTCAGGAAGCAAGGGATTTAGGAAGGGGACGGGCTAGATGGGCAGTTCGTGGCGACAGCTGAGAGCCATGCTCCACAAGAACTGGTTACTCAAGATTCGGCATCCTTTAACTACTCTTGCTGAGGTAATCAATCGATTCTCTTACCTTCAATCAATTAATTATGCATGTTCCCTTCTCATTGATTTCTTCGACCTTTGATCGGGATTAATTCAGATTCTGCTGCCGACGATCATCATGCTGTCGCTGATCGCCGTGAGGTCGACAGTGGATACTCAAATACATCCAGTGCAAGCGTAAGAATATGCAAAGCCTCGCTTCTGTTTATACTTCGCTAGTTCTACTTATGTACTTGTTGACGATGGTTCCCGCGGTCTACAAACGTTGGGTTCTTTCAGCTATATTCGCAAGGGAATGTTTGTTGACGTTGGAAAAAGCGAGGTCTCTCCGAGCTTTGAAAGCTTATTGCAACTGCTTATGGCTAGAAATGAGTACCTTGCCTTTGCACCGGATACCAATCAGATGAGGAAAATGCTGGATGTGCTGTCATTGAGGTATCCGCTTCTTCAGGTACGCTTACTATTTTTGGTTCTTTAGGTTTCTTTTAAGAATTTGAACTTTTGTCATCTCATAGAGAACGGATGATGCCAGATGAGCTGTTACCAATGGCTGGTTATTTAAATGCTTTCATCAATCTTCTTGGGGCTTATATTTTCTGGGATGAAATTTTTAATCCCTTTGCATTTGGGAAACATATGGTTTGAGATTATTTAGTTGAAAATCTAAGTTTGTTTGGTTGTAGGAGCGGAACTAGCCTTGGGGGGGGGGGGGACTTATAAGTAACTGTTTGTGTTGCCTCGAATTTGGCTTGACCCTTCATACAAGAAAATTGATCAATAGGGACAAAAAGAAAATGGTCATTTAAGATATCTTTAAGCTACCAAAAGTAATTACAACCTCTAAATAATAAATAAACTTGATATTTGAGTGTCCAAGGGGGCAGCGCCCCCTGGCGGGGTTCGACCTGCCCGGTCAGATCGTGGGGTCAAGGGGCAGTGCCCCCACAACAAATTTTGGTTGTAAGGATATTTTTGGAATTCAAATTAATAAATAAAATGATGAATTCTCTTTACCATTTCCTTGAGGCAATTGTTTAAAGATCATATTATTTTAAAACTTTTAGGGGGCATTTGTTTAAAACCCTTGTAATACAACAACAACAACAACATCAAGCCTTTATCCCACTACATGGGGTCGGCTACTTGAATCCTTTTTCTCCATTGTGTAACATAAGTCAAATCTAATACCTCTACTCTCCTAACTGGGTCATCGGAAGGCCGCCATTTAATGTGACCAAATCATCTAAGGCTACTCTCTCTAATCTTATCTTCTACTGGAGCTGCTCCAACCTTTTCACATATATGCTCATTTCATATCCTATTTCTAAGGGTAAAGCCACTCATCCACATGAGCATCCTCATCTTTGCTACACTTAACTTAATATTATGCTTCTCTTTTAATGGCCAACATTTGGCACCATAAAGCATTGCAGGCCTCACTACCATCTTTTAGAATTTTCCCTTAAGTTTGAGCCTTGAGGGGTATATTTCTATCACATAACAAGCCTGATGCATTCCTCCACTTCAACCATCCAATTTGAATTCTGCTGATGATATCCCCATCTATTTCCCCATCACTCATAACAATAGATCCAAGATATCTAAAACGTGTACTCTTATTAATGACTTGATCGCCCAAAGTCACAATCCCCTCACTAGGTCTATTACTACGATGCACATTTGGATTCCACCACCTACTATTTTTACTATTAAGATTTTTTCCCTTTGATATTCCAAGGACATCTTTTGCAATATTCTTAATATCACTAGCCACTTTTCCCACATAAATACATAATATTAGCATTCTCATGCACAGACAAAATCTTAAGATCTAAAATCTTATTCTCAAAAATATTTTTGTTAATATTCTTTAAATGCCCACATCTAATCCTATAAAATTATTTAACTTTATTTTTTATTTTATGCCCATTTATCGTAAAGGCCAAAACTAATAATCGATATTGCGTACATAAATTTTCACTCGGAATAACTTCACAATCTTTGCAATCTAAACGATTTAATTTTCTAATAAGAAAATAATCAATCTGGGTTGTACTGTATCCATTTTTATAAGTGATGAGATGCTCATTCCTTTTTGTAAATAAGGTATTAGCAATTGAAAAATCATAAGCTAAACAAAAATCCAATATGGTCTTGCCACCTTCATTCATCATTCCAAATCCATGGCCACCATTAGAGGTGTTAATATTTGACCTGACCCGAACCCGACCCGAAAATTTCTGGTTTGGGTTAGGGATTTCGACCCGTTTGTAAAACCGGGTTGGGTTCGGGTTGACCCAGAAACCCGAAATCAACCCGGTTTGACCCGGTTTTAATTAATTTAAGAGGATTTTAAAGAATTTTTATGAAATAAGTAAATGATATTTCAAAAAATAATAAACTTTGTTGTCCAAATTAAATTAATTTTGATTTATTTTAAATTAATTAAAGTAAATCTTACCTTAATTTGATTTAGATTTAAATAAATTAAATTAAATAAAAAAAATTTAATGAAATATACCCGAAACGGGTCGGGTTCGGGTTGACCCGAACTCGAAGCGGGTCGGGTTTGGGTTCGGAAAACCGACCCGTTTGTAAAAGCGGGTCGGGTTCGGGTCGGGTTAAACAGTGTCGGGTCAATTTCGGGTTGGACCCGAACCCGACTCGTGACCCATTTTTGACAGCTCTAGCCACAATGAATGCTTTTAAAATCATCTACCTCTCTACCAACATGTCCATTTAAATCTCCTGCAATAAAATTTCTTTCTTCAAGAGCTATCTTTTGTATCAATTCTTCTAAGTCATTCCAAAAATTTAATTTAGAATTAATATCTAAACCTACTTGAGGAGCATATGCACTTATAATATTAACAATCTTTAAAGCTATAGTTCTATCTCCAATCCTATTAATTTTTATAACATTATCCTTTAAACTCTTATCTATAATCACACCTACACCATTTATAGTACAATTCCTACCCAAATACCCAAGTTTAAATCATAAACTATCAATTTTCTTAGCCTTCTCTCCAACCCATTTGATTTCCTGAATGCACAAAATATTTAACTTCCTATGAATCATAATATCTATTAATTCCTTTAATTTTTTTGTAAGAGAATTTATATTCCAAGTTCCTATTCTAATTTTAGTTTCATGGACTAGCTTCTTTGCCCACATCCGTCCTTGATGTAGGAACCCTTGCCTATTTAACACTGCACCCGGGCATCGGTCCAGCGGCCCTTGCACACTTGTCATTGTATTTAGGGGATGCCCTAGCGTTAACACAATTTCTTAAAGGATTTATGTCATTATTGTTCGACAAGTTTTACGCTGGCTATCGACTACCTAACGCAACCCTTCACTTTTCTCGTCCAGGACTTGGGACCTGGCAACGGCGCATCGCTTCCAGTTTAAAACCCTTGTAATGAAGACTAAAAAATAGATGGAGGGGGATAAATTGCCTAAAGAATCATATAATAAATAATTTTTATTTTATTTTTTTAGAGCCCCCCCCGGGACGAGCGACGAGCTCAAGGGGGATTCGCTTCTGTTTGGTTGCATGTTGATTTAACAATATACTTCAAATCCATTGTTTAGATGGGTTTCTTTTGAACTCGTATTTTCATATTTCTTTGGATTTTCATATTTGGGGTTGATGCAGACATCTAATAGTAAACGCTTATCTGAGGAAGGGATGAAGATCAACGGCCGAGATCATTCCACTTTATCTTAATTTACTAATTGTATTTTTTGTTTTATTTATGCATTTTCCATTTTTACACTTTTTTGAGGGAGTTGTCCTTTGTAAGTGCTAGAGGCATGTTTGTATTTTTGAATTTCTTTTATTTTGAGACATCTATATAGAGGCCCTTGCTATTGTATTGTGAGGATGAATTATTAATAAAAAACTTTTCGGCACTCTTGTTCTTTGGAGAAGAACTTTGGTGAGATCCCTATGTGAGGGAATCGTAATATCCACCAGCGGCATGATGTGTCCGGATTCGTGGTTTGAAGTCCCTAGGTGAGGGCAGCGCATCACCCATCAGCCGCAAGATGTGTCCGGGCTCGTGATTTATCTTTATTTCCCTACATTTCCTTTCTCCTTCTCTAATTCATCTTCTTATTTCTTCTAGCCGCCGCTCTACCTCTCCTTCTCTCTTGACCGTCGGCCATACCCCCTCCATAGCCGCCGGCCAAGCTTTCCTCTTCCCTACTCCCACTCTCTAAACCAAACACCACCACCCCTTCTCTCTCTTCCACCTGTTGGCTATATGTCCCACCACCACCGGCCTCAATGATCCTTTCTTCCCTACCAAAACCTCCCAAAACCTTCCTTTTCCTCCTAGCCGTCACTATCAAACCCTATCCCTCACTTGACCACCAGCCATAGTGCCTCTCTTTGCCTCCAAATCTTCAAATCCCAAATTAATTCCTTTCAAAGTGGCGTATTTCAATTTGGACAGATTTCAAATTCAAATTTCAATCTTAATTGAATTTAGAGTCTTTCCTAAATTAGTTATTTGTTAATTTGGAAAGTTATTCAATTTGAATTCAAATAAAATTTTAATTTAAAAACTTTCCTATTTAATAAATTCTACTTTAGGAAACCTCCTCCAATTACTCCCAATCTGAAATTAATTTTAGATTTAATTCCCAATCCCAATTAATGCTTGATTCACATTCATTGAACCTAGACACCTCCTCCTTCCCTCTCACTTGGCCGGACCCTCTCTCCCCTCTATCCTAATGATTTCCTTTCTAATTAAAGGCCACAATTAATGAGATAATTAATTCTTCTCTTCCCTCCCTTCTTTTTTTGTTTGAATTTCAAATTCAAATCCATTAATTAAGGAAAATATGAGATGGAATTTTAGATTGTTAATTTTTATTTTCCCCCACCCCCACCGTTCTACATCAGAATTTTTTTGTAGAGTTACCAAAAAACATTAATTAGCTAACTCTTGTTCCAAAAAGATGTAATTTTAGGATCTTACAAAAAATGATAAATCTTTGTTTGAATAATAATTATCATTGCTAATTTTTGCATTTTATTTTTATTCTTTTGTTTTGTGATTGCGTTTTAACCTTATTAGTCCTTTCTCTGTTTTTATAGATGGTGGCGAAAGTATTTAAAGATGAGTCAGGCTTAGAAACTTATATACGCTCTGATCTATATGGGTGTCAGGATCATTCCAGGTAGGTTTTATTTCCTTCGACCTTTTTTCTTAGTATGCATGGTTTAATTACGAGAAATGAATTTTTTTAGTTAATTAAGCATTGATTTGATACAGGTTGTGAAAAGAATTTTATTGCTTCTGCTAGAATGCTCCCTGATGTTAGAAATGCTAGATTTTTAGTCTCAATTACCATATGCTATAGAAGTTGCGGTCAATTTTTATGTTAGATGCAGAATAATTGTAGATAATTTTAAGTTTATTTTTCTTGTTTCATTCTTGGAGTAGGTAGCATATTTATCATTGTGACTGCTAGCCTTATCACAATTATTTTGGTTGGGCTTTTTGAATATACTTCTTAATTTTCTTATTGAATGGTTGATTTGGTGTTAATTTTATTTTGTGCAACTTTTTTGTACAACTTCTATCATTTACCCCTCTTCCTTTATGATATTTTTACATTAATTTAATTTACTGTCCCTCTTGTTACATCATTTTCCTTTTGCTTTGGAATGCTTAATTCACTTGAATCTATTACCCCTCTTCCTTTATGATATTTTTACATTAATTTAATTTACTGTCCCTCTTGTTACATCATTTTCCTTTTGCTTTGGAATGCTTAATTCACTTGAATCTACATGCCAATACCTTATCTTCAATATATACTACTTCAACTAGCCGTATATCCATCCTTTCAAAATTTGACATATATCAATCTTAATATTTCTATTTTTTTTTTTGCGTCATTCAACTTATTTATAAGTGTCTGCTTTGCTCTCCTACAGTTGGATTCATATAACATAAACATTATAATTTGGATATTGTCCTTTTATCACAGAGTACACCTAAAGTATTTTTTCATTTAACCTAAAAAATTGAACCAACGCATTATCTATATTTTTTCTGTTTTTATAATCAATCGAAACTTCCTGAACCTGTCATACATAGGTCACTATAAGTGATAATGATGACCTCTACTACTACTTGCTTTTTGTGTGCTAATCAAACCCAAGTTCATCTAATAAAACTCTAGCTTAACAATATGTTCTTTGGTAAATTGTTATATAAAAGTCCTAACTAGGGATCAAGCCATTGTCAACAATGAATTTGGGTTCCGATGCCCAATGAATACGATTGCAAAAGCAAGAACAAAAGGTATTTCTTCGTGCACACGCGCGCGCGCGCGCGCACACACACACATATATATATATATATATATATATATATATTTCAAATGAGGTCTTCAGTGCCTTTATCATGAACCAAATTTGATGCATGTCCCTATATTTTATCATACCATGAACCCCTTTTATCTAAGTTTTTAGTAGTTTGATGATTTCTCTATTGGACTTGTTGATTGTCGCTACACTATCATACTTTCTTGGAAGGAGATTATTCATGAATTTTCTTATTGTTCATGTTATGTGAATGGTGTCTCGATGCTTATGCTAAAGTTCTATGCATACCTAATTTGGGTCATTTTCCCTCATGTTCATGTTCACTAAATAATTTAATCAACACTTTACTCATTGTGATCAATTCAAACTAATACAAGTAGATGTTAAGACAAGCATTCTTTCCCAACCGTTTGTGGTTTGTGTTCTTGTTGAATCAGATGTTTTTGTTGCTTTGGCTAGGAAGATATGGATTGACAGTTGAACTTGCGAAACAAGTGAAATTTGAGGGTTTGCCCTCTTTTGATCGGTCTTTCAAAATCTATTGTCGTGATTATTCTAATTGCTTCAAGGATCATCCAAAATTATGAAAATCACCTTACACGACCACTGTTGTTTAGGATAGTTCTATGAACTTTGTTTGGGCATACAAGACTTTCGTATGATTAGTACTAATGATCTATTCAAATCCTCAAACTTTTGGAAGTTGTATTTTTAGTTGCCTCCCAAAGAATTTTGTCATCCTCTTGAACCTATTTTAGCCTTCTGGATTGACTCTGCGCTTTGTTGAGTCGTTGGTTTGTTGGATTTTAGTATTTCAGCTGCTCCATCTCTTGTGTCTTCTTATATGGTTGCCGAGTTTATTGGAGGTTCCTCAATTACTGTTACTCTCACTTCTCCCTCTATTATTATTCTTGTGTTCCGCAATGCTACCTAAGATTGTTCTAATGTGGAGATGGTTGATGATTCCTTCGTTTAGTATCAAAATTCTATCAGAAGTCTTGCTGTTTTAGAAGTTGTAAGTTTCCAACTTGTGTTTTCTTGCCACGACACAAATAGGAAGAATGTTTTTTGTTCTTTTTCTCAGGCTTGCTAAATTTCAAGCTAGACACAATAGCTCTCCTGATAACTTTTGCATTCTTGACTTTGCAAGTGCTTGAATATGGACCTTCTCCTATCTTGATCCAATATATTTTCTTCCTTTATTTTTTTTTTAATTGCAATTCTTTGTAACTGCTTCTTAATATAACTTTTCTCAGATTACATGAAATTTTATGCTTAAATAAAAATACCTATTTAGCCCACGAACAGGCTCTAATATGTATTTTTTAGTTTATCTGTATTACCACTCAACGCACATGAAAACCTAACTCAAGCTGTTACTTGAGTGGAGAATGATTGTATGATATATGGTAGTTGTCAATGAATCAATTATTAATGCCACCTGTCCATGTGATCAGGTTAATGCATGCTAGGAAATGAAGGTACTACTACCCTACTTGGGTTAGACTTGTTCTTCTATATTGGTAATTTATTTTAATTTTTACATTCAACGGTCATCTTTTTGATAAATTACAATTAGGTGCTATGATGACAATTTCAGTTGAAACAGGGGAAACATGCCCCCTCATCTGGTGATTGACCTCTATCATTGATACCCAAAACTGCTGGGTGAGAACCGTATACATACTGATACTTTTAAAGTGTTGGTTTTGAATCAACGAAATGGTAGTAGCAACCCGGTTCTTAGCCGACAGTATTAGATTTTCTACTGCATTACTACCACCCATGAGCAAGGTGGGTTATAATGGTGTAAAGGTTCACTACATGTATTCATGAAACATGGGGAATGATTCCTCAATACATATATTTGATTACTCAAAAGAAAAAATAGATTTTAATTATCTAGCTTCCAATTTAATGATTTAATTAACATGATATAAAATCAATATATATATATGAAATGAATAATATAAATATACCAAAAGATAATAGGTGTTACATGCAATCATATGATCAACCTAGGGCATGATAATTTGGATAGGGGTTGATGTATGTGTCCTTCATAATGAATTTTGAAGAGGTGGTTCTATATGATTCAAACCCATGAATTCCTTGCTGTAGGATGGATCTCACATGCAATGTAGTGGTGCAAGATTGAATAAGGGTATTGGATCAGCAATTTAGAAGGATTTGTGATTGTGATCAAATAGGTCCTCAAAAGTAATATTTTTAGACATACTATAAACTAGATTTATATGTAATGAACTATTTATATATTCATTTTCATTTAGCTTTTCATTTTCATTTAGCTTTTGCTTGTCAAAGAGAGGGAAAGTATGCCAGCAGTTCTGAAAAGTAGGTCTTGTTCCACTACTCACATTCTCATCATTACAAGTCAGCTCTAGAACCTAAAACCCTAAAACTGGCTATACCAGCATGTTTGGCATGCATGCTGCGCTGGTAGTTGAACTTGATTATGTTCTTTACTAGAAATTGTGGTAGTTTTTTTTTTTTTCTTTATGTTGGAGTAGCTCCAGTAGAAGATAACATTAGAGAGAGTCACCTTAGATGGTTTAGTCACATTAAACGGCAGACTTCCGATGACCCGGTTAGGAAAGTAGAGGCATTAGATTTGACTTATGTTAAGAAAGGTACAGACAGACCTAAAAAGACTTGGTTAGAAAATATTAGAAATGATTTTTATCTATTAGATTTAAACGAGAATTTGACTTTTAGTAGGACATAATGGAGAAGAAGGATTCATGTAGCCGAGCCCACGTAGTGGGATAAAGGCTTTTAGTTGTTGTTGTTGTATTAGATCAATTCAAAAAGTAATACTTGTAGTATAACATAAATCATAAATGTTATTTTTATGTAAAAAAACTGTTTATAAATTCATTCTCCATTAGTATGTGCTCCTCAATGAGATAGAAAAAATGCCAAAAGCTCTAAAAACCATGGCCGCTGCCTTATTCCACTGGCCACGTGCATTACTATGTCAGCTCTAAACATTGCCTGGTGGCCATGGTTACATCTACGTCATACCCAATCTCATTTTGTTCTGCTTACTTTTCTAATGCCTGAATCCGATTTTTGTCTATGGGCACACCAGCAAAGTTGGCAAGCATGCTTCCCTTTTAATTGACTTTAGTTCTAGCCTTTTGTATGATTGTGACAATATGTTTTTTTTGTTATAACATCAACTCCAAGTGGATTCATGTAGCCGACCCACGTAGTGGGATAAAGACTTGATTTTGTTGCTGTTGTAGTATCAACTCCAAGAGGCTTAACATCCTGAAAATTGTTTAAAATGTAAAACTAGAGATAAATATATCAGGATTAGGAAGGGTATTTATGGGTTCTCCCTGTAGTTACTGGTGTTACTCACCTCTTGTCTCCCTTCTTTGATGCTAATGCTCTTTTGCTTTCCCTCTCTCTCAAAACCTTGTTAGTTGTCATAAAAATTTCTAGGATTTAGGCTTCCCACTGAAATGCAGTTGTTGTTGTCTTTCCTAAGTATTATGCTAATCACAATAATATCTCAATATTATGTAGTCACATATTATTGCTCTAAAGAATGGGGTATTTCACTAATTGTATTTGATACACCATGTGGTACATCTAATTTAAAATTGTAAAAAACAGTTGATTACCATAATAGAATCCCAAATGCTAACTTTATAATAGATCTCTGAGCATATGCTTTTAATTTAGGCTGTGATTTTCATTTTGTATGGCTGCTACAATTTGTGCTGTTCTGCAAATTTTCTTTTAGTAACATTTATGTCCATATTATAACCTACATATCTTACTTTCCTAATCTACATGTATTCCCATCATGTATATTTTATTTGCTCATTGCTTCATAGTTTATGACTAATAAATTGCCAAGCCACATTGTTTAGAGTTCCTATCTTGAAGTTTGACATCTACCACTGCGATGCTTATGATCATTATAATTCAATCCTTTATCAATAAAGTTGGTCTTTCTGTTGATTACGCTTTGGGGCCTCAATGCTTATTGCAAATATATATGTTTTTTGGTGCTTGTCTGTCTGCTTGTAGTCAGTATGCTTAATGGCCATGTATCTCAATATAATGAGTTTGGAACCTGTAGTAGCTGCGATGTTGTTTCAACAAGTTGATAAACATGCTGTATTTGCAGGAATTTATCAAATCCAAAAATCAGAGGAGCAATAGTATTTCATGAGCATGGCCCTCAAATTTTTGATTATAGTATAAGGCTGAACCATACATGGGCATTTTCAGGATTCCCAGATGTTAAAACCATAATGGATGTGAACGGGCCATATCTTAATGACCTTGAATTGGGCGTTAATATCGTACCAACTCTACAGTATGGCTCAAGTGGCTTTTTGACGGTAATTTTTTCTTTTTGGTTTTTTTAGTTGCTAGCTTATCCTGTTTATAATTTTAGTCATTATATTATATTTTATTTTTAGTTTAACCATTGTGTCTTCTTAAAACAAACCCACTCTAGTTGCTTGATGATTATATTTTTAAGCTGGTCTCATGAACTTTTTTTGAAATCCCTAGAGTATATTTTATTCAATGCTCTTATTTTCATGATTTGGGAAGTATGCTTTATCTTTTGATGATCAGTTGCTATTTTCATATGGTGATTTTAAATATGGTTTGTTTTAAACATGTTTAAACAAACAGCTTGTTAATTCTCTTTTGAATCCATTTAGTGATATCAACTAAGTGTGGGGTTTATGTTCATGGAGTTTTCTTCAACAGAAGCTACTTAATCAACTTCATCTTTAGAGGTTACTTCTCTTCCTTCGTGTGTTCAATGCATGGGTGTGCTTTGAAGTTAGAGCTTTTTGTTTTTATTTATGTTTAACTTGGTTGATAGTTTGAGATTGGCATGGTTAATAAATCTTCATTTTAGCATATTTTTAATGTTTTCGGTTAATTGATTTAATTATTCGTTATGGTCATCATCATTAGCCTTGTCCTAATTATTTGTGGGTGGTTTTGTGAATACTTATTTTCCATTTTTTCCTATTTGCAAAGTATTGCAAATTTTGTTAAACTTATTCTTTGCAAATCACTTTCAATTATTTTAATTCATATAACCATTTATTATGATATCAACTTATGAAACTTAATTGTATCAATCTTATTTACATATTAGATCTAAATCTATTTAAGTATGTTATGCCTATTTAGAGCTTCCCTCACGACTGTCCTCACTCGTAGATGGCCCCTTACAGACACCTCTTCGTTCATGTATTGTTAGCTCGCCCTATGGTGCTCAATTGGCATGTATTCATCTGTGTTTCATCTTGTCGTTAGCTTGCGGACACGTTCGCTGTGTTAGTGTCACACCCCAGTTTGACCTACCCTTTAATAATCAATCTGGAGTATAACAGAGAAGGAAAATTTAAACCGATTCTGATGTGAAACCAGGAATTGTTTTTTTTAGAAATTAATAAAATTTGTTGGAGCAATGATAAAAATAAATTTAAAACTTCTCAAAATTGAAAACTCAAGAAAGATCTAAGAAGTCAATAATGCATTAGACAATCCGTTACAACTAAATTTGCAAGTTCCTTAAAATAACAACTTAAGCAAACATAATGAAATGATTAGCCAACTAGAATTCGACGGTTAACAAAGTAATCGTCTCACCTTGAGGCTCTAAGTCACTCTTCTACTTCTAGGATTGTCGGAGGAAGAAGAACCATACGAGAAATGAGATCACTCCATGGTAGACGGCGTAGACGATCCGTAGTGGTGGCGAGGGAATTGGCGGCGGTGAAGGTGGGGAAGCGGGTGGATGTCCGTTGATGGTCCAGTCATAGTCTTGGAATTGGTCGTCTATGACGTCCACGAGAGTGGGAAGAATGCGGTTCAAATAATCTTCAACCGTGTCGTCGGAGCCAAATCCGACGCCGAAGAACGGTGAACGGGTGAGGTGAATGTCTCCGTAGATGTCGAAAACCAATCCGTTATCAAGCTCGGGATCCGCCATGCATCCTTGCCGGAAGGGAAGAAACACAAAGAGGGGAATGGGGAGGAAGGAGGTGGTGGGTTGGAGGAGGAAGGTTGGATTGGCTTGGGTACTTGAGAGGATTGACTAGAGAAAGACTCCAAGAAATAAAACTGAAAAATTCTGAAATTATTTCAGTTTTATTTAAGTGGGAGGGAATAAATTTGAAGGTTTCAAATTAATTCCATGAAGGATTGATGGGGGCGGCAATATGGAGAAGTTTGGGGCTGATTTAGTGGAGCTAATAATGGAATTTGGGGAGAGAGAGGGCCCATTAAGGGGGCCGACCACATGAATAGGAGAGAGGGACTTGAGTTTTAATTAGGTGGGGACCAAAATCTTAATCACAGATTTAACAAAAATCTGAAATAAAATTTCAGATTTCTTAAGAGGAGAAAACTTCCTAATATGAAGACAATTAATTGGATCAATTTGAATTTCAAATTTGAAATTGAAATTCAATTAAATTGATTGCATAAATTAGGAGTTAAATTAGGAAACCTTTAATGGCTCATGAGAATTTGAAATTTCAAATTTGAAACTCAAAGGAGGGGGCGGCCGGCGGCTAGAGGGAGGAGCAAGGGGGTGGGCCAAGGCGGGGGTTGGCCGGCCGGCGGGAGGCGGCAACCAGGTTGCCGGCGGCCTGGGCGGTTTAGGGGTAGGCAGCAGCAAGGGCAAGGGAGGAAGAAAGGGAATTTTCTAGGGATTCGAGCGGCTACGAATTCACTCACCTCAATTATCTTCAATTTGGATTTCCACAAAATTAGCTTGGATGAAAACTAGAACTCACAAAGGGATCTATTTTCTCCGACGAATTCACTAAGAGATCTAGGAGTGAACTCACAAAGAGAACAAAGAACACATTTTTTCATTCATCAAAAACTACTTCAAATACAATGACTAAGTGATGGGGACAACAGATTTCAACACGTGGACCATCGCCGGAGACGCCGATCGACGGCCATGATTCAGAGCCTTTATTTTTGATGTTTTATTTTATTCATGTCATTTATATTTCATGTTTTTTCTTTTGTACCCCTATGAGGGAATTAGTGCTTATTGTAGCCCAGGGGCGTTATTGTCTTTATGCATTTTATTTCTAGATAGCCTATATATAAGGCTTTGTCATTATACTTGAGATGATTATTGAATGAATGAAATTTCTTTTCTATGTTCTCTTTGTGAGTACAACAAAGATCTCTTAGTGAGTTCTCTAGGTAATTGTTTACCCTAGTATTTTCTCTCTCCAATTTTCCTTTCTTTTCCCCCTTCAAGAAATTCTCCACAAAGCCCTCCCTAGCCCTTGCCGCCGAACCCCCTAGGGTTTCCCCACCGCCGGCCAAGCTCCCAACCGCCGGTCACCCACCGTGCCGAGAGCCCTCCCCCACCCGACCGGTTCCACCTCTCCACCAATTTCCAATGTGAAATTTGAGATTCAAATTTTGAATTGTTTCCTAAATTGTAAATCCAAATTAGGAAGGTTGTCATGATCAAATAAATTTCTAATGAAATTAATTTGGAGTTTTCAAAATCCTTGCCACGTCATCAAACCACAATGGAAACCCCTTTCTTCTCTCCCCAATTCCCTCTCTCCCTAGCTATGCCGCCGGCCCCCCTATGTAGAATTCTATTTAATGACCACATTAACCCCTTGATCCTATTTTGAAATTCAAATTAGGATCTATTAATTTTCCCTCCTATTGCATTGAAAACTGAAATAATTTCAGTTTAATCTCCCCCATCTCCCTATTCTTCCATCAGCCGGCCTCCTCTCTCTCTTTCCCCCATTAGTTCCTCATTAAGGAATTAATTGCTCTCTCATTGAAATTCGAATTTCCCCTCCAAAACTCCCAAAACTGAAATTAATCTCAGTTTTATTTTCTTTGTTTTAAACTACCTTATGGTATCTCCCCCCTCCGGAGCTGTTTTATGAGCTCCTCAGTGATCCCCTGGGCATGTTATTGGGGTTGGCCTCTTTGCGAACCAAAGGGGCTCTACCTTGCTATTTTTCTTGCTTTTGTTTTGAGATGTCTCTCATGTATGGAGTTTGAGTTCACCAGTGTAGCTCTTCCCACTTTTGTTTTTTTGTCTTGGGAAGTCTTAGTTTGTTGCTCCATACCCTTTTTGTACTTTCCTACTTATTAATGCAAATGCAATGTTCAACTCTACCACCGGCCTCTCCATCCCCTCTATAACCCGCCGCCCACCTCTTCCACTCATTGGAGAGCTTCTTGCGGCGACCACCCCTTCGCATCTTCAAGAATGCATGGAGGAACCCGAGTGGAATTTCGGGTTTGAGTACGACAACCGCGGACGAGTGAACATCTTCAGATCTCCCTTCTTCGACATAGGCTTTGACTTCGATGACACCGTCGAAGAATACTTGGACCGGATTCTACCAACTCTAGTGGATTCCATCGACGATCATTTCTCCGTCTACACGTGGATCATCGAAGGGCGTCGTTCCACACCACCTCCACGGCCGGCGCCTTCCTCTCCTTCCCTACGGATCTACGGCACCATCGCCCTCGGAGTGGTTTCATCACTTGCGTGGTTACTCTTCTTCCAACAAGCCTAGAAGTAGGTAAATGAGCGTAGCCTCAAGGTGAGACAATCGCTTTGTTAACCGCGAGATCCTAGTTGGCTTTTCATTTGCTTTACTTTTATTACCGCCGTTATTTTACCGATCTTGCTAATTTAGGTGTAAGCTCTTGCCTAAGCGTAGTTGAATTCTAAGATCTCTGATAAGTTTCAATTGTGAACAATATTAAGCTTGCAATTTCACTACTTGAACAATATTTTATTAAGTTTCTAAATCCAATTATTGGTTTCACATCACTAAGCCTATATATAGGCCATCCGAAAAAAAAAAAACATAAAGACGATATTGCCCCTGGGCTACAATAAGCACTAACTCCCTCATAGGGGTACAAATGGAAAACATGAAATATAAATGACATGAATAAAATAAAACATCAAAAATAAAGACTATGAATCATGGCCGTCGCTCGACGGCCCCTCCGATGGTAAGTGTGCCAAAATCTCCTATGGATGTCCTCATCAGATTCCTTCTTACTAATACCCATTCCGAGCCACTACTTTTAGAATAGAGTGAGTAAAAGAAATCTATTTAGACTCTCCTAACTTGCCAACATATCTAATTCCATAATTAATAATTGGAAGCATATAATGTCCTTTAATGAACATCAAATATAATTGAAGTAAATACATTGCTCAACTAAAACTTTTAAAATTTACTCACATAACCAAAAGTATGTACATCTAGCCTTCAGATCTCGTTTTAGATCTCTTTGTACACCCAAAATATATTTACACCAAAAGAACAGTCACCTCTTTTTACTG